CTACATACATACATATATATATATATATATATAATATATATACTATAATAATAATATATATATAATCATAACATTTGTGTTTTGTATATCATGCATACATACATACATATAAGCACAAACAAACACACACACACAGAACACACAACCACACACACACACACACAGCCACATAACGCCGCCACCCCCACCACATATAACTATATACATATATTCACTATATATCTATTATATATATATATAATATATATATATAGTGCTCTGTGTGTGTGTGTGTGTGTGTGTGTGTGTGTATACATATTCCTCATACATATATATACATACACATATACACATGTATACTATACATACAAATATCATATGATATATTTGTGTGTGTTGTGTTTTTTATATATGCCATTGCACATATGCTTTGTATAATATGGCTCATGTGTTGTGTGTGTAATGATAATAATAATAATAAATAATACATGTGAATATGCACACACACACACAATATGTATATCTATATCTAATCTATCTATCTATAAATATTATATATTATTATATATATATATATATATATATATATATATATATGTATATATAAATGTCGGAGGTAATTACTGGGAAAATAATTATGCTCCTTAAATCTGTTAGCATAACCCTTTGAATATAACCTCCAGTAGTATGAATACCCTTACTGAAGGTCCATCAGATTTTCTATATGCATTCTACCAAGGAATTTGTTACCTTGTTTCCACCTTCTTCGGTAGGCCGCCACCAGTAACCATTTTTATAGTCTAAGGCTATGGGATAATGGTTAACTTGACCTTTTCGCTCCTTAAGGTAATTTATATGTTAGATAGCTGGCATGCTTTGGGTCAACAGACCCTGGATTTAAGGTCACTTCGGAAGCAATGGCAGGTCCTTCTGGCATTAATCATGTAGTTACTTTTAAAAGATCAGGCTACATGAACCCTCATTATAGATAACAACAACCAGATTTATTAAGAATAAGCATGGATCAATGAGGCACGATATTCCTCACTTGAATATTACTAGTGACTGAGTTCAAATTATGTGTCAATCTTTTTCAACAACAAATAATTGAAATTTCACTCCTTCCCTTTACTCACATTTCAAAATAATAAATCTTGAACAAATTTAATCAACAATCGCAGCATTGCTATTTCCGTCCGAAACACGTTACAATAACACTAAGAATTTCTGTCTAATACTTCAACATTACAACCCGGTTGTTCAGTCTCCCCTCCGGTTTTCTCTCCGGCTTGTACACACAAACACTATTTGTTCCCTGATAACTTGGGTTACACTTCCCCGCTGCTGCCTACAGGTCTTACCACAGGCACACTTCATCCTCATGAAACATTTCCGTAAATCACATAATAAAACCGTCATTCCCTAACTAAAATCCTATCCAATGACAAGGGAACATGTAATGGTGGACAGGGAGAGCTCGACGGCGCCAGCAAGGAACCTGAACACCCAGATGACAAGCGAAGCTCTCGTTAGATAATCTTTAAACACAACTCCTACTCCTCCTAGCATCATATGACATACTTTTAATTACTCGAGATGTTATAATTCATAGTATTTACTCCCAGAGCTAGCAATAATTCATAAGTCAACACAACATTACCTGAACACCCAGATGACAAGCGAAGCTCTGGTTCGCTTCGTCTCGCAACGCTCCTCCCCTTGATCAGCTCAACCTAAAAACTATGTTCCCAGCTAGCGTCATGTTCTCTCTCCTGTCTCATTTAACACAAAAATAATTTACAATATTATATCTTGTTTAATAAATGGTAACTGATGAAATCATATATAAAAAAGGAGTCTTATACACTATTATTAAATATTTAAGGAGCTCTGATTTTATTACGAGTGGTTCATGTACTTATATAATTTTAGCGCCAAATTCAAAATATTAAATTTCCCATTTAACGTTAAGAATTACTCAAACTGTCATAATAAGAGTTCATAAGATCTCTATACCCTTCTTAAATCAAGACTCCTTCATTCATGTATATTTTCATCATACTTATTTGACACATTTAACATCATTCATTATACAACGAAAAAACACTACCCTGAACTCCGCTGAACACAACAAGGTTATACATGGATATATATATATATATATATATATATATGATATATACAATGAAAAATTAATATATGGAAGAAAAACCACCTGATCCTTCGACCTGATCTGACCTCCCTTCGCTTCCGTTCTCCTGTCCTCTCCTGCCCCGTGGTTCCCGAGTGCTTCTCCTCCTTTCCCTCTTATACCGCTTCCTCTCCCTTGCATCAGACCCGAAGATGAATACGATTCCGAAACTGTTGTCTCACTTTATCAATAATCTAGTTTGTACATTGTGGGTTTTTTCTTATATATATATATATATATATATATATATATATATATATATATATATATATATATATATATAACCACACACACATAAAACATAACAATTTCTCCTCCCTCCCTTTCACAGCTTCCCTTCTGAACCCTTCCTGCCGCCCTCGCCGCTGCAAAAAGTGTCGCCTTCCCTTCACTCGGCGCAGAAAAAGCCTCCTTCTCGTTACAGTCGGCGACTTTTTCCCTCTCCTGGACCGGCGTCCGATCAGCTGCTCGAAAATATGGTTTCCTACAGCAGCTGACGCGACCAAGCGAGGAGGCTCTTCTGAATTCACATATGTCTGTATATAGGTATATAGATGTGTGTGGTATATAATATATATATATATATATATATATATATAATATATAATATATATATATATATATATGTGTGTGTGTGTGTGTGTGTGTGTGTGTGTGTGTGTGTCTGTGTGTGTGTGTACACACACATATATATATGTATATAGATAATAGATAGATAGATAGAGATGGATGGATGGATAGATAGATATAGATAAATTATAATATATATATATATATA